CCCGGGGGCAGACAGAGCCGGCCGGGGCGGGTACCTTGAAGAGCGTGGTGCCCGGCTCCCTCCCGGCCAGCCTGGCACTGTCCACCAGCTGCGCCACCCGCGGGTCGTCCACGCGCATGAAGTCGCTGACCAGGTCGGTGACCTCCACCAGCCAGTCTGGCCCCAGCATGGTGACCACCTGCCCCGTGCCCTCTGCTGCCGTGGTGTGGAACTGGGTGAAGACCTGCAGCGTGGCGTGCTGGTACTGCAGGGCACAGCCCCGGCTCTGCTTCCGCTCCTCTTCCTCCTCCTCGTGCTCGCTGTCCCGCACCGCCCTGTGGGACGGGGCAGTAGGTGGGCAGTGCTGCCAGAGTCCCCACTGCCACAGCTCTTCAGCCCCTCCGGGACAGGAGAGGGGTGGCCATGCAGGGAGAAGTGTAAGGTCACCCAAAAAATGGTGGCCAAAGATGCCAGTTGCCCATGAGGACTCTGAGAGCTTTAGCAGCCTTGCTGGGTTGCAGGCGTCTCTGCCCCCTAACCAGCTGAGAGGACAAGGTATCTTAGGTTGGGCTGAACACCTGGCAGTCTCTAGACCTCAAAGCAGGGCTAACTCTGGAGCGTGGCAGCTCCTGGCCTTATGCAGGGGACCACTGCCAAGGGTGGATGTGCCCCACCAGCTCCAGTATCTGACCAACCTCACTGTGCATCTTCCCTCCTTCCATACAAACGTGCACCCTGTGTCCATGATCTCTCACCTTTTCACTGAGGACCCCCTGAGATGACTCTGACTCCATCACCTTTAAAACCACCTCATTAAGTAGCTGCACAAGGCAGTTGGCCCACTACCCCCCCCCTTCACCCTGCCTTCTGCAGGCTGGGCAGGCCCCAGGCCCGGTGGTTCCGCAGCACCAACCTCCTGTCCGGCAGGATGGGCACCCTCCAGCCCTTCACTTGGCTCAGCCGCGTGTCCGACAGCTCGATGTGCAGCGGCAGCTTGGGCACCCACACGGTCATCTCCAGAGGGGCAGAGAGGTGCTCGTAGGTGAAGGTGACCCGGGCACTCATGGAGCCCTGGGACTCCTTCCCGCTGACAAAGACGTAGTCACAGCTGCTGGAGACCTGGGGAGGAGGGAGGCCGGGGTTGCGGTGCTCCTGCAGACCCCAGAGAGCCTGGCAGGAGGCTGCCCGGGGCACGGGAAGTGCTGGAGGAGCAGACTTTCCTGTGGCACTACCCAGGGAAAGGTGGCCCCAGGAGCAGGGATGCTCTTTCCTCCCTGAGTCCCTGCTCACAGCTGTGGATCACACACCAGCCCCTCTGCCAGCGCCTTCATTTGGTGCTTCAGCTCCTTTGGCCTCAGCATCCAGTTGTACCCTGTGACCGTGCTTGAGCTAGAAGCAGCCACAGGTGCTTCACAGAGACCCCAGATTGCTTACCCTGGAGATTTGCCCCCAAATCTCTTCCACCCACACCCAGAGGACACGGGCAGAGAGCAGGGAACAGCCACATGCCCATGTGCAGGTACCCACCCCTGCCTCATCCCTGTCCCTCCCGCCAGCCCCAGGAAGAACTTCCTGGAATCTGACTCATTCATCTCTCGCTCCCTCCCTCTCCCCCTCTCTTTTAATTCCCATTTATGCAAATGCCATTAGTTCAATTTGCTATAAAACCAACACATCCTGCAGGGATCACTTCTTGCCAACAAAGTGAGGCCATGAGGGGCTGAGGAAGCCACCACAGGTTCTGTCTCAGGCCACCAGGGTCAGCACCACCTTCTCCTGACCCCCCACACCATCAGGGATTGCATCCGAGTTGTTTGCTGCTGGGGAAGAATAAGGCCTGTTTGCTCAGCCAGCCCCAATAGGTGCTCTCAGGGTTTATTTCCAGCAAGCTGCTCTCCCATGTGGATTCTTTGATGGCTGATAAGGGGTTGAGTCCACACTGCATGGTAGATGACAGCAGAGGTGACAAGCATCCCTGTCTGCCCATCTTATCTCTGGGCATCTCTGGTCATTCAACTGCAGGAACTTTGTATTTCCAAGTCCAGGAGCAGGGTCTGACTTTACCAAGAGCTCCACATTTCGGGTGCAGGAGCCCCCCATGAGCTGCCTGTGGTCCTCAGGGCAGGCAGAAGAGGCAGAGCTCCTTGGGAAGTCCCCCATCCCCAGGCGTGAGAGGAAAGTGCAATGCGGGAGGGCTTGTTCCTTGGCTTCCCACCAGAGATACCAGCTCAGCACATCTGACAAGACAGTCTCAGCTCTGGCGGGGCAGTGGCTGAATAAAGATGAGCTCCTGGGCAAATCCTCCAGCAACAGCGCGTGGATGTCGTGTCGTTCATCACGGGAAACGTGACGGGCTGCTGCTTGTGGTAGCTGATCAATCCCCCCAGCACCTGCTGGGGACAATTTGCTTTGCAATGGGGGGGTTAAAACTACAACAGCAACAAACTCCCAGCCCATCAGGCCTGTCCTGATGATGGAGTGACTGCAGGTTGGCTTCTCAGTGAAGCACATGCTCATTCCGAGAAACTTCCTGGCTCCGCAGGGTCGGGAAGCGGGAGGATGAGTGTGAGGGCTGGGAGCCAAGGCACCACAGCCCTGCTCCTGCAGCCAGGAGCCCCCCCGGAGCACAGCCTCAAACATGGGATCAAGGGGACATCTTCTCCAAGGGCCTCAGGAGTGGGAAGATCCACCACAGCTGGTGGGACCCCACGTTGGCTGGCCAGAGGTCCTGGTGGTGGCTGTGGGTGACAAGGGTCCCCCGAGGCTGCAGCTCCACTGACCTGGGCTCCTCAAGCAGATGTGGATGGTGGGCTCCCAAGAAAGGCTCACATAGCAGGTGAGGTTCAACATCTCCCATAGAGCATCTCTGGCAGCAGAGGTAGCCCGGCCACTCCTGGCACGTCCTTCAACAACATACACAGTCCCCAAGGCCACAATGCCAGCAGGGAAGGAGGGTTATTCCTGTGCCACCTCGAGTGATGAGGTCCTCCTCCCTGGGCTGAGCAGGGGCAGCTGCCCTGTGTCACAGCAGATGGGGATGGAGGTGACAACAATCCTTCATGAGTGGCCCTGGCACCTTCACAGCCATGTCCCCTGGGACATTTCCCCTCCACATGGCACACAAGAGCGACCAACCACCGTGGAGCCACAGGCGGCCTGGGGAGAAGCAGCTCCCCAGCCCTCCCTCACATTCAATTATTTACAGTAACAGACAGTGCATCCCACTCTAGGCTTTGATTTATGACCAGGTTTACAGCCCCGACGCCGCAGTCGGGCTCCCCAGGCTCAGCAGGTAACCGAGAGCTCCCCGGGAGGCCGAGCTCCAGCACAAACACAAAATAACTCAGCAAGAAGCGGCACAAGGAGCCGGGGCCGCAGGGCTGCCCATGCATTATTCATCCAGCCTGTGTGCGTGTGTCTGCTCCCCCCCAGGTCTGGGGACAGCATGTAAATAGATTTATGAGTAGAAAGGCAGCACATTAAACAGTTTAAGTGTCTTGGAGTCCATCCTGAAGTGTATTATTGCTCCAGTGGTTTATCACGCTGCGAAGGACCCGTCTCCATAAATTAGACCCGGCGCCATAAATCACACAGATCCGAGTTTTAGTGAAGAAATTGGGTAAACAGTTTGTGACCCTGGTTGTCACCCCCCCCCGGGAACCCCTGGGGAGAGCAAGTCCCAGCAGGGCACAGGGCAGCAGGGCCAGGGCTCTGCCCATCACCTCCAGCTCAGCTGGGAGAGCAGCCGGGGGCTCCTGGCAAAGAAGGGAGAAGGGGCTCAGCCCCCCAGCCCTGCTCCCTGCCTCTTCCTGACATGGAGAGGGTGGACTGGCTGGCTGGGTGCAGGGAGACAGGCAGGAGGTGCTGGGGAGAAGGTAAGGATGTCTAGGGGTGGATGGAACCATGATAGAGCAATAGAGCAGGTGGACAGTGGCAGAAAAAGGTGCACGGATGGAAGGGCCTGGAGATGGAGCCCTCCTGGCTGGGGGGAGGACAGGCTGGTGCTGGGGCAGAGCTGTGGGCAACCACTGCTGCTGCAGCTTCTGCACTGGCCTAATCAGCATCTCCTGTGCAGCCCAGCTTGCTCAGGCCCCCCTTTTCCCTCCAACACCCCCAGCTGCCCAGCTTGTCTCCCACCTCCTCTCTGGGGCCACCCCCAAGCCCCAGCCTGAGCTCAGCCCAGCATCCAATCCACGTGGGAGATAAATGGCACCTGGAGGCACAAGTGAAGCCACCAATGGGAATGTGCAGATCCCACGGCAAGGTGACAATATTTCACCTTATCAGCACTAAAAGCCTGATAACCCACAGTTATTGCTGCTGCCTGGGGCAGCCCTCACCAGGCCACAGCCTCTCCAGGGACAGTGACAAAGTGTCTTGTCCTTCTCCTGACAGGTCCCAGGGAGAGGCACACACGGACTGAAGCCAACAATGCCTAGGATGGGGGGCTCATACAGCACATCAGCTCAGCCACCAGACCCAGCTCACCCAGCTCGTGGGGTCAGCACCCCTGGGGGAAGCTCAGCTCCTCACTAAGGTCACAACCCCCCCACACACACCCACCTTGATGATGTCCTCGTTGTTGGACCTGCACTCAACCATAGCTGAAACGTCCACGATGACACCACTCAGCTCAATAGCAATGACCTTCACAGGAATGGCCACTGTCCGCCCGGTCAGGATGGCTGTGTTGATGATTTCTGTGTCCTGGGGATGGGACAAAGGGCATCATCACATCAGAGGGCAGCCTGACCCCTGGGGCAGAGGGGAGGAGTGGATGGGTTGTATGGATGTCCAGGTGCTATGGGGCAGATGGGCTGGTGGGAGATCCCTCAGGGGGACCTGACTCATCCCCAACATCAAACCAGGTAAGCTAAGCAGAGGGCAGGGACAGGGCTCCAAAGCTGCTCACCATGGCCAGGGGCACGATGGCCCGGATGTCCCTCTGGATGACCGTCAGCTCCGTCACCACCTTCTCCAGGTCGGGCGGGGGGTTGCGGCCCCGGTAGTCGATGTGCCACATGATGCGGCGCGTCACCGACTGGCTGGTGAAGTTCTCCATCTCAAAATCCAGCTGCATGATCTCAGAGGAGGAGTCCCCATCCCTAGGCAGGGGGACAGGAAGGGGACACGGTGAGCTGGCTGTGGGTCCCTTCTCAGGGTCCCACCACCTCCCCGAGGGACCACGCTGAAGGTGCCACCACGACACGTGCTCCCAAACAGAGCAGCCTCCTGCACTCCACTGGGGAGCTCTCTGACAGAAGCCTGCAGGTGCCCATGGGAATCTTCCCAGTGGGAGAAAAAATGCTGGGATGCAAAACACACAAAGTTGACCGTTATCGCCCCAAAGTTCAGGGTTGTCCCTGCAAAGCTGGTGCTTCCCAAAGCCCCCAGGTCCTCAGCAAAGCAAATCCCTCTGGCTGCTCAGCCTGGAGGGCAACATGGCTTTGATTCCTCCACACTTCCTATTCTGTTAATATTTGATGGAGTTGTTTGTCTAAGAGGTGATTGTGATCACTTTGCATTCCTCCTGCATCTCCAGCCTTCCCAGGCTGATCTGAAGCAGCAGCAGAAGGTGAGGAGAGGGGGAGAGGAGAGGAGAAGCCCTCACTGCTGCAGGTCTGGCAGCTGCTGGGGTGGCCACGCTGAGGACACTTGTCTCCCTTTTCCCAGAGACACGATGATGGAGATGTCACGGCTTGGGAACAATTGCTTTCCAGAGCTTCAGAGTCTTTCCTGTTGGTGGCTTTGACCCGTGTCCATCCCCTGTTCCCGCCCCTTACAGCCCCCATATGCTTGCAGGCCAGTCCCACGTCTCCCCTTCTCCAGGCTGAGCAGCCTCTGGCTTTGCAGCTTAGCTTTGTGTGTCCTCACTCCTTCAGATCCCTGTCATTGCTATCTTTGGACTCTCCTCAACCAACCTGAGCATTTCCTGAAGCGCCAGGAACAAGCACTGCCCCTGTGTGGAGCAGGGCACACCTGGCTCTGCCCATCCCAGGTGCTGCCTTGGTTCATGTTCCCATCCAACACTCATCCATCACCTTCAGGGTCCAGATGGGACCACGCCTGGGGACTGCTCCCCTTTCATCCCAGAGGAGCCACCAGGACAGTCAGCAAAGACCTACTGCTTCTCATGGTATGAAAACTTCTTAGAAAAATAAAATACTTCCATCTCAAACTGGGGGATCCCCCAGGGCTTCACAATTTATCCCCAAAATCCACCCCACGTCCCACCAGCATCTGACCCAGCTCAGAGCCTGGGATGCAGCTGCAAAATGGCACACCCAGGACTTCAGAGCGTGTGGGCTGAGGGTTTACCCCACAATTGCTCATCCCCCTTTGACACCTCCAAGTCACACAGTCCAGGCTGTGCACTGTCGTGCCTCAGTTTCCCCTGCCAGCACCCATTTGGCACTACAGCCAACCAGGCACCCAGGGGGGGAGCTGAAGGGAGAACCACTCCAGGGCAAATCCCAGCAATTTTCCCACCCCCCCCCCCCGATGCTGAGGGGAGCAGAGGGGGGGTCTCCTACCTGGGCCCCGTGCCGCCCACCCTGGTCACATCGACAGTGGCAGTGGAGTGTTTGCCACCAGTCAGCAGCTCCGAGCTCACCAGCCACTGCCCGCTCCTCGACTTGGTGCTGAGCAGGTTGACACCCTTCTTGGCCTTCACCCTGCAGAGAGCCATGCTCAGGGTCACCGATCCTGGCAGATCCCAAAAAATGCAACACACCCTCCTCACGTTCTCCCTCCTGCCCACAGTTGCCCTCACACAGCCCAACCAAAACCACCACCCCCTGCAAAAGCGGCAGCTCCGGGGACCTCACCTGAGCGTGAAGTGCTCCACGGTGGAGTTGGACATCAGGTAGAGCAGGATGCTCAGCACCTCCCCGGGCCTCAGGGGCTTGTCGGGCAGGCGGATGAAGACGTTGCCGTCCAGGCGGTGCTGCTGCAGGGGCTGCCCCGGGGGGGG